CACACACACACACACACATAGATACACACACACACACATAGATACACACACACACTGCTTCTCCTTCGACTTCCATCAAACTTTAAATTTAATCTGAGCAGAATTTTGTTTAAATGAAAGAAATGAAACTTTTGTTTTGAAAATTATTCTTGTTTTGTGTTGATGTTCAGCAGCAGAGGACTCTGTTTGTTTTGAGTTCCTTGGTCTTCATGATGTCTGGGCTGTGGGTTCTGTCAGAACCAACCGGGTCTTGTTGGTCCACAGCTGATGGTTTCTCCTGTTCAGGAAGCAGAAACCTAAAGATCCTTCAAACCTTCAGGTTTCTGAGAAGCTGCAGCTGCTGTGGGTTCTGGTCTGGACCTGGTTCAGGTTTTGCAGCTGTTGATGGTTCTGGTCTTGAGTCGAGTCCAACAAGCAGATCTGTTGTTTCTCCTCTTTAAAGCATGAAAACTAAACTGCAGCTATGATTCACAAGAACCCAACAGAACCTGACAGAACCAAACACAACCTCAGCAGAACCTGACAGAACGTCATCAGAACCTCATCAGAACCTGACAGAACCCAACAGAACCCATCAGAACCTCATCAGAACTCAAGCTAAAGGAAGTTAAACCCTGTTTCATTAAAACTTTCAAAATAAAAGCTCATTTTACCTGACAGAGCTTTAACTGACTGATTACCCATGATGCAGAGCGGCTCCATCAGAGGAGGTGTTTCCTGTTTCCTTCCCCGGAGGAAGRAAGCTCCTTATATGGGCATCAGGACTGTGGCTCTGTCTCCACAGGCGAGTTTAATGATTATTATAAATAAAAGTTTTATCATCTGTTCGTTTCTGCTGCTCAACAAAATTATATTTTTTAAAGATTTTATGACTTCACAATCTTCCAGTATTTTAATAACTTTAAACGGGTGACATGAAAAATAAAACTTCCTTTAAAGAGAAGAAAACATTTCTTTCCCTGACAGAACCTGACAGACAAAACTCAGGGCTGAAAAAACCCAAACTCCTTAAAGCTCAGTTTAAAAGATAAAATGTTCTGAAGTCTGAATGGTTTGGTGGGAAGAAGGAGCTGAAGTGGACCCACCTGAATTCTTTTCTGCTGRTCAGGTTTATTTTTACTGCCTGCAGCTGAGGGACGTCTGAGGTTCTGACCCACGAAGCAGAACCGGACCTGCAGGGTCAACAGAACGTTTTCAGCTGCAGGACTTTTAAAGAACTTCTTTGTTTTGTTGATGATTTTTGTTTTTATTGGTTCTAAAACTGAGATTAAATTCATTTCTTTATCTGACATTTTATTTACAATAAATATAAATTATTGCTCTGAAAGTTTCTGCTTGTTGCAGGTTCTGAGGTTCTGCAGATGTTTCTGGAAATCCTGAGAGGATCCATAATCCCTGCAGAGAGTTCTGGTTCTGACCTGGAATCTTGACCCAAAGAGAGATGTTCTGATCAGAAGCAGCTCACATCAGAAGAACCATGGGGA